TACCATTTTGTTTCACAATTACCATGATTTTCAGGGTAAATTTTAAGAGAAAATTCTCCTCGTGTAGGATACAAATTACAAAACATTTTATACATTAATTGTTTTTATTAGATATATTTGTTCAAAATTTTAATTATGAAGATTATAAAGTTCTTTATGCTGATAAACAGAAAAGGATATATTATTAAATTCTTTTAATTATATATTTTTCTAGAAATTCCTAGGAAATGTAAAGAAAATTAAAAAATATGAATATCTCTACCACAATACGATATAAAATATGTTAAATTAATTTTACTACGTACATACTAAAATTTACTATTACATTAATATTTTTTATTGTGATAAATATTAATCAGACAAACTCTTATAAAAATTCTTCCGACCATAGGTATGTCATACATTGTCCCACGATTACCATAATATTCAGGGTAAATTCTAAGAGAAATTTCTCCCCGCGTATAAATGGAAAAATCACAAGATTTTATAGCGCTGCACGTATAATCTCTATTTCATCGAGAAAAAAAAAGATGAGAGAAAAAACGAAAGAGAAAGAGACATTCTGAATTGTGCGACGACAAAGTATGTGACAAGTATTCGATATACTAGAATAGCAACGAGTGCCATCGCTGACCGCCGCCTTCAAGAATGGACATACGGAATTACGGAGTCTCGTTCATCCTCGTGCAACCTCTCATTTCCCTCCTACTGCAATCAGCGGCATTTAAGCCTGCCTTTCGAGCGTTTAAGCATTTAGCCGCTTCCGCCATATCTCGCGGTTGTCTTGTACCGGGCATACTTTTTTCGCGGAATCGGATGGCTCTCCCTCGTTCGGTTCCCAGAAGAACGGACGCGGCGATGGATGCTGATGTGTCGTCGCGTGTCGTCCACGAGAATTGTACGAGTCACCGTTCATTCTTCTACTCACGTAATCGTCGAGCAGTCGAATCCGGAGATCGACACGACAGGGTCGTGATTTGACTTCGTTTAAAACGCGGGTATGTAATTAGATTTAACGGTGAAAAAATATTTGAGTGGAGCAATATAATGAGATATACTTAAATGGGGTTTCTCAGACTCGTTACGTGTGTCAAAGATAAATCGACTCCGAATTATTCAAATCATCGTTAGCGGAAAGAAAATGCCATTTTTATATTTTTTAGGAATTTCTAGAAAAATATAATCAAAAGAATTTAATAATATATTCTTTCCCATTTATCGGCTTCATTATCTTCATAATCAAAATTTTGAACAAATGTATCTAATAAAAGCAATTAATGTAATAAAAAATAATTTGTAACGTTGTATCTTATACGAGAATTTTCTCTTAGAATTTACCCTGAAAATTATGGTAATTATGAGACCAAATGGTAATTGGAAGAATTTTATAAGAGTTTCTTTGATTATAATATTTATCACAATAAAAAATATTAATATATACCATACATAGCAACATTAATCGAACATATTTTATATCTTATTGTGGTAGATATTAATATTTTTTATTGTGGTAAATATTAATCAGAAAAACTCTTCAAATTTTTCCAGTACTACATTGTCCCACGATTATAACGATTTTCAGGGTAAATTCCCAAAAAAATTCTCTCTATGTACTACAAATCACGGAATAATGTTATACGAATTTTCACAAATTTTATTACATTTGAAAAATTGCACAGATATTTTATAACACAATTAAAACATATTTTTGTAAAAAAAAAAATATAATTTAAAAAAGACATCTATAAGAGCGTTTCACAAAATTGATTCAAAACAAAATGCAAGATTTTACCCGCGCAATGGATTTGATGATAAAACAAAAACCTCATAAAAGTCTCTCTTCTTGCATGTCTGATATTATGCATCGTGATACGCTAGAAATGAGAATCTAGAACCCGATCACGTGGAGATATTTGCAACTTGTAGCCACACACAACCGCGAGAGTCCTTCGTCGATCGCTCCCCTTTCGATATCGCAATCGTCGCTCGCGCGTTTTTTTTCCTCGCGGAAATCGCCTTCTTTTACTGACGGCGATTGAATAATTTTCCACCCAGCGAGCGAGAAAGGTCAGCCGGATATTTGCGCGAGTTTCGGAATGCATCGGAAATGGTTTTATCGCTCTTCTCGCTTTCTCCTATCGGGATTTCCTTTTTTTTTTTTCGTATAATCGATAACGAGTGCAACGGATGTTTTTTCCGAGTGCATCGCAAATGTCACGATCTCTTTGAATTTTGCACTTGCCAGTGAGCCGCGGGCGAGAAAGGTCAGCCGGATATCGACGAGTTTTTCGGAATGCATTGACGAAGAATCGCTGCGTTGTTACATAGGAGGAACTTTATACCGTTTCATGTTGTGAAACGATTGCGAGAAATCATGCGCGAGAGCAGCTGTGCAATCGAATGAAAATATTTATTTACTTAACACACTTTGCGGTGAGTAAGAGAGAAAGAGATATATACATCATATATCATATATATATATGTATATAGTAGTGTTTTCAGAGAACAAACTTATATACGTACTTTGTGTATAGGTACGTCACGGCAATTTATAAAGCATTTGTCGCAAATTATGATAAAGGTTTGTGATCATTATTTCATTAAAAGATAGCAGAGAAAAAAATTAATTTTATATTCCCTCGCATTATTATATCTATTTTCGCAAAAATTCGTGAAAATACAGCTGAATAATTATGACGATGATTTACTTTGTAAAATAAAATCGAAAGCAATTATATATGAAATTTTCATCTTTTAATCGTCGAAAGTCCTTTTAGCCTCACGTCCTTATAAATTTAATCGGGTCTTGCGCGAATCGTCGATTTTAATTTTATACACACATTGTATTAATGGAGTGTTTACTACATAGATGGCAATAATAATGAATAGTACAGCCTTGGAATAAAAATGCGATTATGCCTGCCGATGCGTATCTTCGGATAGAGAAACGGGATGAGTTATGATCATCTGCGGCGAGAGATCGATGAGAAATGAGCAAACCGATGAATTCCAGCTAAAACGACCGTCGCCATTTACTTGTTGACGAGCGGGAGCTTTCAAGGAGCTTTCGCAATACTTTTAATGCGTAAACCTATGGCCAACTTCCTCTTACGCAACACAAAACGCGCATGTTCGCGCGCGCTGGATTTTCTGCGCGCTCAAATTCTTCGCGTGTTTCTTTCCCGCGACGCGACGCAAAAAAAGAAAAGGACAAAAAAAGCGTCGCGCGCGCGCTGGATAATACTCCGAATGCAACCTGCACTCATCTGCATTCCGCAGATGCTGACGGCGCGCAGAAACGCACGAGCTTGAATACCAACGTAAACGCGACAACCTACGGAATTCGCAACCCCACCTCGATTATTCCCGAGGATGGAAGATTCGCGAAAAAAAGAAGAAAAAAAAACCGAGACGGTTAAAAAAATTTTCTACATTATTTTTAATTACTTAATTAATTAATTAAATTCAAAATAAATTTTTTTACGCAACCGCGTTTATGAATTTGCGCACTAGTTATTTTGATTAATCGATTGCTTTATCGAATAATTATTGATAAACGGTTGCGTAATAAAGTTTTGCGCATTATTTTTAATTAATTAATTAAATTCAAAATAAATTTTTTTACGCAACCGCGTTTATGAATTTGTGCACTACTTATTTTGATTAATCGATTGCTTTATCGAATAATTATTGATAAACGGTTGCGTAATAAAGTTTTGCGCATTATTTTTAATTAATTAATTAAATTCAAAATAAATTTTTTTACGCAACCGCGTTTATGAATTTGTGCACTACTTATTTTGATTAATCGATTGCTTTATCGAATAATTATTGATAAACGGTTGCGTAATAAAGTTTTGCGCATTATTTTTAATTAATTATACGAAATGATAATCCTTATTAAATAAGATGTAACTCGTTACTGTACATAAAAAGCGTGTAAAAAAATTGTATAAAGAGGAAAGTAGCGAAGAATTTAAATTTCGAGGGCCCTGCTTAAAATGAAGATGCACGATTTAGCTCGTGCTTTTCTTCTGACATTAATGCGAGAATCTAGAACTTCCTGAGAGTGATATTCTCAAATCAACACTCTCGAGAATCGCAATTCGCGTTCACCGAAAGGCAGATATGCACACTTGATGGCGAAGGTAACCGGTATTAATTTAGTTATGGTTGCAATTTAATATTTGATGAAGAGTGAACGACAACGTTTATTCAAGATACGCAGAATATCCAGTCGGTGCAAAAACAAGTCGAGTCGGTTTTAAATCATTAATCTCCACGGGGAGAGCTTCGACTTGGTCAAAGATAAATCTTCTGGGACGAGTCATTAGCATACGCGATTTATGTTATTGATAAAAAAAAACAGCTACTTTCGCGTCGTTAATAGCCCAACACGCTATTCAATTTCCACTATCAAAAATAATGAAGAAATATAATAATAATATTAAATCAAAAATAAATGAAAGGGTTCTTAGATCAGCGATTAAATTGCGAAAGCAATTATAAATTACATGTATAAAAAAAAATTGGCTTTTTGATTCGATGCGATTAGGATCGATATACAAAGAGATTAAAAGGGGACTCTTTTTCCTGGATCGCGTGCATGTGTATACACGATTATAATTCTCCGGTGCGATTTGAATAACAAGCTTAACCGCGCGATAAATATGCATGAACCTGTGAATCTCTGACAATAAAAGATTCCTCTCGACTCGCGTATCCCTCTAATACCAATACCGTCGCGCTTTGTTCTCCAAGGGGCCCAAAACACTCGATGCGCCCGAAAGATTCATCACTCGGGAAGACCATCCACGAAGAGAGATCCGTCTCTCCGTGGATTTCGGAGCCGGCCCGATCGACGGAGCTCTCAGCTCACCCGTTACTCGTCTAGCTCTGCAGGAGGGCGAGAGAGAGGGTCGTGGAACAGGGTGGGAGAGGGGCGGAGGGTCGCGGGGGTAGGCACAGGTAAAACAAAAAGTCGGGAAAAATTGAAAACCAGTCTTATGCAGTCGGTAGTCCGGACTACCCGACCGTCAGCGGATTCGTTTTCTCTCTCCAACTTCTTTCTTGCCCTCTCTTTTCTACCTTCGTCGTTCTCTCTCCTTCTCTGCCTCTCTCTCTCGCTCTTCTCTTCTCCACCTCCATCTCCGGAGAGATCCGCGACGGTACAATCACCACCACCACCACCACCATCAGCATCAGCACCATCATCAGCGCGCTGCCACCACCTTCTTTTCCTCCTCCTTCTTCCGTTTCTCTGCGATCCTTCTCCGCGATCCACGCTCTTCCTTAATTCAGTCCAATGAGAACCGCTCTTCGATTCGTCATACCCGCCGACGAATCTCTCTTTATACATCTCCGTTTCTATTTCCTCTCTCCTTCTCTCTCCCACCTTCTCGCGGAATAAACAACCGCCAATTTTGAAAAAGACAAAAAAAAAAAAAAAAAAAAAATCAGCGACACGCATCGATCTTCAAGCTCCTCCAGATGTGTCGTAATAATTGACGTAACAATAAGAATCCGGGGAAACGGAAACGCTCTGCCGCCGCGGTGCACATCCACCGGATGGGAGAGACACGGCCGAGGTGCGGCAGGAAGAGGATCCTCGCGGAAGACGGAGGACGCCGCGAGTTTGTTTTGACGACGGGTCACCGTGTATTATACGCGCCACCGCGAGAGAGGCGAGAGAGTCGGTGTGTCGTAAACACACTTCTTCGCGTCTGTGTGGTAGTATATAGTGCCGCGCGATTCCCGCGAGAACATTCATCGAAACGCATGATCGGATACGCGTTGGAGAACGCGTTGGAGAACGCGCGAATACCGATCGATCGCTCGCTTCTGTCGCGAGGCTGAGAGGATTGTTCCTTCGTCCTTTTCCCCCTTTTTTGGGGTCCGAGACTCGGGATTTTCCGCGAGTTTGGTGCGACAGGTTGGATCCTTGTGTTGGATTCGGTGATCAACGAACGCGCTCCGTGTTGTAATCGCGATACCTGTCAAAAGTGACCTGTCAAAAGTGACCTGGCTGTCGAGGGACCTACGTCTTTGGGATATCGCGAGGGCAATCCGGCTCATCTCCCGTAGGATGGAAGGAAGGATTTCGCCTCTTGCCGAAGAAACATGTCCCGCGGCGGTCGTCGCAACACGCGAACCGGTTGCGCGCTCTTAAAATAGTTTCTCACGCGCGTAGGTAACTGGCGCGCACAACCCGCCGTTGGAACACGAGAGAGAGAACGTCGTCGTAGTAGTGCCAGGTAAATATATATATCGATCCACTATCGCCGTTAGATAGATCCCCCTTCGCGAACGCACTCGAGAGAGAAAGAGAGAGAGAGAGTGAACGAGAGAAAGAGGGAGAGAATGAGAGGGAGAGAGAAAAAGAAAGAGAGAGATCCGCCTGAATCCGCCGCGATCGCGATCACGCTGGATCTGGCCGGCCTCTTCTCCTGTGATCATGGAAAATAGCTCGGCTCCAATTAAAGAGGCATTCGAATTCGAACATATATATATATATATATATAATCGTCTCTGCTCGATCCTCTCAACGAATTATCATCCGGTCCCTCTCGGCCGACGAACTGCGAAGAAGCCCCCTTTTACTTACGGAAATTGTTTCTTCGAGAGCTTGTTTGTTGATACAGTACTCGAAAAGTTTGTTCAACGAGAGAGGTTTCGAGAAAGCTGCTTCAAACGAGAGGTAGAGAGAGAAAAGTTGGCTCTACGCTGCTGTTTCTAATTTCTGTTTAGAACCTCCTTCTTCCTCTTTCTTCCAGTTTCGTTGAATACTTCTTTCATGGGAAGTGAGTTATTTTCGATGGAGGGTGGATTATGGCGCTGTTTATGGGGAACCGAGCGTGATCGATCTATTTGCGATCTATTCGCCACTTCGGGGAATCGTCGCTGGAACTTCAGATCGGAATCTAATTATGTCTCTTACATGAGACGCATCAGACGAGCTCGATCATATTTTTTACGAGAACGTCAACGTCGATGGAATATATATATACAGGGTGTTTCAGAACTGGCAGATTCCGGATATTATTCGGAGACGATTTTTTCTCAGCGAAAATGCCGAGATACGAATAATTTTTGAATTATAAGCAGTTGAAATTAAAGGCTTTTTTTAGGAACTAAGCCTTATGGAAATAAAATATTGACAGAACTATATTCTTCCGTTAATTTTAGGTAGAGTTTGCTTTAATAGAATTTTAATACCTACAAGGCTTAGTTATGAAGATGCATAATAGCAAAAATTGGGAACATGCTAAAAATGATGGCCTCCGTCAACATTTTCACTAAGGAAAAATTGTTTCCAAATGGTACTAGAAATCTGACATTAAAAATTTTTCCACCAGTTCTGAAACACCCTGTATTTTAATGGCAGATTCCTGGTATCATTCGGAGACGATTTTTCCTCAGCGAAAATACCGAGACACCAATAATTTTCGAATTATAAGCAATTGAGAATAAAGGCTTTTTTTTTAGAAACTAAGCCTTATGGAAATAAAATATGAACAAAACTACATTTTTCAGTTAATTTTAGGTAAAGTTTGCTTTAATAGAATTTTAATACAAGGCTTAGTTATAAAGATACATAATAGCAACAATTGGGAACGTGCTAAAAATGATAGCCTCCCTCAACATTTTCATTAACAAAAACTTGTTTCCAAATGATACTAGGAATCTGACATTAAATATTTTTCCGCCAGTTCTGAAATACCCTGTATACCTATATATCCTCAATGGCGATCTATATTCGCACAGTGACGTTCCAATGCGCACTTTTTCCAATCGCTCGCTTTCCAGTTTTTCTCAAGAAAAGAGAGACGCAAATGCAAGCTTCTGCGATGCATTCGTTGCACGCGCATAAATCTCTATACCTTTCCGGGTATCGAACGCTAATTCAATTAGCACTCTTGAATACATTGTGGGAATTCCGGGAGGATTAAGCGATCGGAAAAGTCGAGAGTTTCCAAGAAGTTCGAAACACGGAATAATTCTCTAGAAACCGTGACGTCGATTTTCGATCCACGAAAAGTCGTAAATCAGTACACGATCGTACCCTTATTCTGTACCCCAATTAGCGACTGTTCGATTCTAAGTTCCACCTGAATGAATCACTAAAGATTGCGTTTATTGTAAACAAGAAGTGAACAAGAAGCGATAATCACAGTAATTAGAATCAAATTACATGAGCAATATAAGAAAAACACTTACAGTAAATACAAATTATAATAATTAATAGACATATGGAAAGAGATTGGACGTTGTACATTAAAGAGTAACAGATTCCACGCCAATAATTAATTTCTTGAGCAGTTTCTTCATAATGTATAATTTCAAATGCTAGTTTATTACAAAAATTGCATTAATGCGCATGCAACATTTTTTTTTTTCCTCGTAACGGTTTCCTTATTAATCGACATCTTTAATGGCGTTAAACGCGTGCGACCGTGATTCTCCAATCTTTCCTTGTTCATTATTAAGATGCTACTCAATGTTATCAGTCTGTCGCGTATTGCACAGCCGCATTTAACGCGTGTTGCAAGTCCGAGCTGTTCGATGACGAACAACGCGAATAGACTCACTTATCTCGTGCGCTCGGTAATTTCTGCAATAACCGAAAATAATAATATAGCAGACGCGACATTGTTAATGACAGCGATAGCGCAATAACGGCGCGATGTCAATTGACAGCGATGCTTCGATAGCGCGGATATTTACGAAGGAGGTCATATCAGATGCGACCACAGAAGATACCGTGGATGATCGAGTTGCTATAATTATTTTGCGCGGTTATTTTATCATCATTCAAAAGAGAGAAAGATGCGAATTCCTTATAATTCATTTTAATGGAATTTTTTTCCCCAAAAAAAATATTCATAGTTTCTGTGCATGATCGACAGAAACTGCGATTTTCGATTATCTAAGCGGTCGCGTTCATCTTTATCAAGAGACTAATAAAAAGGCTATCTTAGAGTATGTAGAATGAGAGAGAAAAAGAGAGAAAGATTAAAAGAGATGCTCAGATCTGCTGGTTATATATTATTACGTCATGGCAAATGCGACATGTAAAAGACTGACCTTTCGCGAAATTAGACTCCGATCGCCATCTCAACCCTTTCCAAGCGATTTGATTTGCGTATCGAATTTTCTCGTAGAACTTATCCTGAAAATCAGGGTAATCGTGTGTGGAACAACATGGTATATTGAAAGAATTTTATCAGAATTTCTCTGATAGTAATATTTTTATTTCTAGATATTGATATTTTTATTATGGTAAATATTAATCAGAGAAACTCTTATAAAATTCTTCCAATATACCGTATATTCTCATCCTACGATTTCCATGATCTTCAGAATAAATTCTAAGAGAAAATTCTCTCTGTATAAAAATACGCAGTTTTTAAACACATTGTGGAAATAAAATTAAAAACATTTCGAGATTATTTCGTGTAATACCTTTAACATGTGATTAACGCAATTTTCATGTAATATATTTAAAAAAAAATTTGTACATAATATATACATATATTTGCATTGACGTCGCATCGGTTAGGCGATTTTCTGCGATTTTTGGTATTTATTCGTGGCGTTTAAAGGAGGCACGCGACGAGAGCAGAGGGAGAGAAGAAAGGTGATGGAGAGGCCCGTTTCAGTAGTAACAGAAAATGATTGGAAAGTCTTCCTCCGCGCTGTGAACGCGCTTACACGTAGCGGACACGTAGTTAGAGATACCAGGCTTGCCGCCGCCTTCTGCGAAGGCGATTGGCGTTTGTTATTGAAGTTATTCCATCGCCTCGGGCCATGGACAGAACGAGAGGCGAGGCTGATTGTGAGTGCCAGCATCGGCAGCAGCAGCAGCAGCACGCCTGTCCCTGGATGACAAACATCCACATTTCGCTCGCGAGCTGGAATTTTTTATTAAAACTGTTCGATTGCCTCTCCCTCTCTCTCTCGTATACTCGGTGTCCCGAGCGTATCGCGTGTTTATTTACTCGAGCTTTCTGCAACTCGTATAGGTTCTAACAAGCTTCCTTTGAATGTAGAAAGAACGGAGTGATTTATCGTTTATTTATAATGAATAGCTCGAAACGATAAAGTGTGGGAAAGCTTGCTCTTCCACTTTACGTAACGATTCGACGGTAGTCAAATGACATTTATCGTCTAGATATAATAGGGTGACTTTTGTTGTCTCGTAACGGTGGTTTTAGAGTCCTGCCTCAAGTATCGATTATGGACGCAGAAGACGTCGTAAATCTCGCTCACGAAATATTTCAAACGACGTCGAATTTTATTACAATTTTCCATTTAAATTAGATTTTCCGTTTAATAACGGCGGTATTTTTTTTACGGAGTTTTGCTTGTGCTAAATTTTCCCCTTCGTCAAACCTAACTCAATATTTCCCACCGTGGAATTTATCTCGAAAGCAGTTGTTAAGAAGGATCAGTCACACTGTAATTTGTCACGGCGAAGGCGAAATCCCATACATCTACAGGATATAATGATTTAACGAATAGTTTACCGTTGCTTTTGGACGGCATAATTCGCAGCTGGAAAATTCTCAGGTGCTAAATCGAAGAAAAGATGATTGGAATACCTTTATTTGAAATTTCGACATGGTTATACTTTTATCGCTGTGGTTTTTATCACCGTGATTCATCTACCGAGGAATCTTTACAAGAATGGTTTTCGGTGGGAAAAGGATCTTTGACATCCAGCTGCCGAAAAGTGCGATTACTCACGCCGGGGCGGATAATTACCTGAAAACCTTCGTAAAACCGTGTTCTTCGGTGGTTGGTGCGCGCTTTCATTTATCGATGAGCCCAAGGAGACCCTTTCAAAATTAGAGTGGGGATATCCTACCTTAAAACTATAGCTGTCCCTCCGTCAAAATTCTCCCGTAAGTCCACCTTGGTAATCTGCCGCAGTAAGTTCTGTCATTCGGTAGCAGCCTCAGCGAAATAGTCAACAAGCTGTGATACCTGGAACAGTTGAAAAGTAATACGATAAAGTACAAAGCATAAAAGTTACATTCAAGAAGTGAGGGTTTCAACAATTATATATACAATTTTAAAAATTAAAAGAGCTGACTAAATAATTATTCGCATAATTATATATACGTGGAATATATGGAATATAATAAAAGAAATAATTGCATAATTATAAAATATAATTATAAAAAATATAAAAAACAAAAATATAAAATTCGTGTTCAAAGCGTGTAAAATTGTATGAAAATATATACAATTGTTTAAAGTGTGTTTCAAAGTGAATTTTTGTTTAATTTGGTAATTGAGAATATTACGCGACAAAATCATGTAGATACTGAAACTTTAAAATAATGTATCGTCCTAAAATCCTCTATAAATTGAGAATTATTAATTATTATTTGTAAATGTAATTATTAATAATTATTAATTTATATACACAGAGAATTTTTTCTTAAAATTTACACTGAAATCATGGTAATCGCGAATAAGTTTCTTTGATTAATATTTACCACAATAAAAAATATTAATATGTATATAATAAAATTTATATCAAATCGAATATTTTATCTTATTGTGGTAGATATTAATATTTTTATTATATTATCCCTCGATGACTATGATTTTTGGAGTAAATTCTAAGAGAAAATTCTCTCTGTGTCCAGAAATTAATAATTATTAATTCCTATATAATAATTAATAATTATCTTGCTTCATTATTATTAAATGTCATTAAATTAATTTAAGTAATAACTTGAAAAGAAAGAGAAAAAAATAATTTAATTGAAAGATTAATTGAACAGTTAGGTGTGATCTCTTCTCTTTTTTCTCCAGTTTCGTTTAAATTAAATTTCATTGACATTTAGTAATACATTAATGAACATAAAAATAAGAAAACAACATGTGGAAAGTGAACGTGAAAGTCGTCGCTAATGGTGACACGTATCAGATCGTATCACGATCGCAATTTTTCGATCGCCGTGCGTTACAGGTCATTGTAATGGAATTCTTTTCCAATAATAATTCACCCGAGTTGTCGTAGAGCGCGATTAAGCGCGATATAAATAGGCGTTTAATGGACACGTTAGAAAGATGCAATTATATTGCGCGAACAATTTCGCATTCGATTAATGTCGTTCTTCTCCTTATCCTTCTCGCGTCGGTAGGTATTCAATACTCCGGGGATAATTTACGCATATTTGTCAGCTCACAGAGAGACATAATAGCTCTGAAAGTGAAGAATATGATCGCGACATTCACTTGGCATTTTGTAAGATTTTTTTAGAAACAATCACTTTCTCATTTGTTTATTGTAGTGCAAATTTTTACGCTTTTAATAATCTTCTCTGTCACACCTTTGTAATAAAATAATTGACTTCGCAATACAGTAGAAAAATTTCTGTTTTCTTGGTAAAATTTTTGTGTTAAAAATTTAACACATTTATGTGTTAATTTAACATATTACTGTTCTGTTAATTGAACTTAAATGTTAAATTATTAAAAGAACTGAAAAAATAACACAATGTGCACCTATTTTTAATTTTACACAATAAATATGTTCTGCTTTATTAGTGACAAGATTTTTCTGTTAAAATTTACAGGAAAAAATGTTGATTTTCTATTTTAATATAAGTAGGGATGATAAAATCTAAAATTAACATATTTTTTTTTGTTAATTTTTACATTAAAATTGTTAATTTTACACAAAATTTATTTTAAATTGAGGTTTTGCATTTATTTTGTGTTAAAATATTAACACAATATTTGTGTCTCCATTTAACATATCCATATTATGTTAAATTAACACAAAAATTTCTGTGGACCGTTTGAGACACGTGATATCTGTTAAATTTAACAGAAATTTTTCAACTGTAAATGTATATAGAAATTAATTATTCATCCTATATGAGAGACCTAAGACAAAATATAATTTTTACGTAGGAATATAATTTTGATAAATATCTTAAAAAATAAATATTTAATAAATTAAATTTTAATAAGTATGTTAATGTAGTTTTCTCTCTCTTCTTTGCTCATTTACATTTACAAAATTAATTTCTATTATTGGCGTGGTGAGAGATTTATAACGAGTTTCGATATTTCCGTGATAATTTTTTAAAGAGGAAGTAAAACCACTTTCCGATACATTCATTAACATAAAAAGATCCCGAAAATTTCGCGAAGGTTTAAACGATTTAAAAATGTGTGACCTCGGCGTTATTCTCTGTCTACTCTCCTGAAATGAAGAGGAGCAACATTACGCTGATTGCTCGGGTTAGCAGTGCTCGCCAGGAAAGAAGACTGAAATTTCATTCTTTTTAGCACGCGTTCCCGCTTAATGACACCCTGACTCACATTCGTGAATATTCTTAATAATCTTAATCGGACCTCGTCGGCATAATCGGCCCTCTTCTCGTCTCCACAACTCTACTCCGAGAATGGTGCGAGTAGGGGGACATTATAAATGATAGTGTCCGGTATCTACGCATAAACAATAGTCCACGTATATATATGAAATCCGCGTGAAGAAAGTGCATAAATATCGTAATAGAAATATCCCAATTTAACGATTTAAAATATCGAAAAAAATGCAACGGCTTTTTCTATATATATATATATATATATATATATATATATATATATATATAATACATTAAAATTCTTTTTCCTTCTCCTAATTATAGAATTTCTTAAGCTTTATATTTTCTTTATCTTTCCTTTTAACGCTTTAAATTCTTTTCAGAAGATACAAACGATACCACGATATGACTTTTCATAACATGTTGTATATATCTTATCGATTTGTGTTCGCTTTAAAACATTTCTTTGTGCTTATATTTATCTATTTACATATATAATATTGGGATAAGCTTCCTTATCCTTATTCTGTCATGTCCCGATAATAATCTTAGAAAGATATTTACAAACATTTTTTAGTAAAAAATGTATAGCATAGAAATCTGTAATATTTATGGTGTAGATTGTGCGAGGGAAACTAAATCAAATCTGTCGCAAACAGGATGACAAGCTGGGTTATATTATCCGTCGCAGCCACCGTCGGGATTTTGCTGCTGACGATCACGACAAAACGCACAGAAGCATGCAACGAGGCGATCTGCGCCAGCGTTGTGAGCAAATGCATGCTCACGCAGAGTTGTAAGTGCGACCTGGTCACATGCACCTGTTGCAAGGAATGTTTTTCGTGCTTGAGCTACCTGTATGACGAGTGCTGCTCGTGCGTGGGTAAGAAACAACTCCATATAAGTGTTCGATAATTTAAGTTAAATTATCAGACACGTTTTACGTTAGTGTGTTGAAGAAAAAAATATATAATCTGTATAATATTATAAAATATCTAACTGTAGCAATTATGAAATATATAATTGCAAAAACATGAATTAAGAAAAAATTGGAGAAAGCTACAATTTAAATTACAGCTAATACAAAATCACGAGTCTGAGGTCATTTTTCATAGACTTTAAAAAATTATAAATAAATTCTATGAACTGGGTCTTTTATAATAACGGCATTAATATATCGTATACATGTAATTTTAACAATATATTTATCGAAATGTTTTATAAGAGAGAAAATAAATAGACGTTTACTCTGAAAATCGTGGGATAATATGGTATTAGAAGAATTTTACAAGAGTTTCTCTGATTAATATTTACCACAATAAAAAATATTAATATGTACATAGTATTAATCGAACATGTTTTATATTTTATTGCTAGATATTAATATTTTTATTGTGATGTAAATATCAATCACAGAGAAACTCTTATAAAATTGTTCCAATGCCATATTATCTTACGATTATCATGATTTTCAGGGTAAATTCTAAAAGACAATTCTATCTCTGTACACTTATTCGAGTTTATATATTTTATGATATTAATATGTACATAGTAAATTTTACTTTTATATGATAAAATTTTATATGATAAAAAGGAAATATATATATAAATATAATTTTGAAACATTTTCGATAACACATAAATGACGTAATATATTTTTACGAATGCAGAATTATGCCCGAAGCCGAACATCACTGACAACCCGTTGAGTAGGAAATCTCACGTAGAGGAATTCACCGATCCAGTGCCAGCACTTTTTGGAGCGCTCACGGCAGACTTGGATCCGCTCGAACGATGGCTTACCTTCACATATCCAGTTGATTTTGATATGTCATTACTCACGCCGAAATCCGAGAACGAAATGAAATATCAATTGCGTAAGTATCGAATTTTTTGAATGTTACAAACTATTGACAAGAGAAAAAGTATGCATGTGAATTGCACATAAAAATATGCATAAATAATGTATATTTTTTCAATTTATGTATATTTATAGTGCCAGAAACTATAAAAGATTGCTAAATTGCAAATTAAATAGTTTAATCGCGGATTGCATATGCTATACATATTGCGATATAATTGATTAAAATCTGATTGCACCAACGTCATTTTGGTTTTAAACGAGACTTAAATATGTATGTAAAAATAAAGATAGATGCAATACATATTTAAGTCTCGCTTAAAGTTAAAATAATGTTGGTGCAATCGCGCCTAAGAATATTACAAAAATAATATAACATTAAAAAAAAAATTCTTTTTATAATAGTTTTATAATACATAATATCGTAAGTTTTAAAAAATAATATATAAATAATATAAAGTAAAACAATAAAAGAGTTCTTATATATATGTTTCTATATAGAGAGAATTTTCTCTTAAAATTTACCCTGAAAATCATGGTAATGGAAGAATTTTTGATTAATATTTACCACAATAAAATTAGTAATATCTACCACAATAAAATATAAAATCTGTTCGATAAATTTTACTATGTACATAGTAAAATTTACTATGTACATATTAATATTTTTTATTGTGTATAAATATTAATCAGAAAAATTTTTATAAAGTTTTTCCAATACCATATTGTCCATGATTACCATGATTTTCAGGGTAAATTCTAAAAGAAAATTCTCTCCGTGTATATATAATTAAACTTATCGACGCAGACTTGGATTAACGCGATTGACGCGAGAGAAACTAATGATACATTTTGAATGGCACAGAATCCGCAGACGGAAAGCTGAGTCCGCTGAAGCCAAACGTGATGACAGTGAATTGCACCGTCGCGTTTATGGCGCAGTGCAACTCCTGGAACAAATGTCGGGCGTCCTGCAAGAGCATGGGCGCCTCGAGCTACAGGTGGTTCCACGACGGTTGCTGCGAATGCATAGGCAATACGTGCATAAACTACGGGATCAACGAGTCAAGATGCATGGATTGTCCGCTGGAGAAGGAAGGCGAAGGAGACGACCAATACAACGATTACGGTCAGGACGAGGAAGGCGAGGACGCAATGGATTAGCCAATTGTAAAAAAATTGTATTTTTTTACACCTTCGCGATGAACAGATCAGTGATTGAACGACACTCCACGACAATATAGTGATTGTTGTGTAACATTGCGAAGTTGGCTTTCATGGAATCTGTTTCGTGCAAAAGTGGATTTTTTCTCGATATACAATTTAAGCGGGGTCTACAAGAGAAAGAATTTAAGACATAAAAACTTAAAAGAGGAAGAACTTCTCACACTATTTAATGAGAATAATCGTATATCGGTTTCTTACTTCTTTAAATTTCTCTGTAGACACCGTTTTTTTTATTTTTCAGAAACAACAACTGTCCAACGTTAAAGCGACTTTTCGATGACAATAGAGTATAAAGAGTAAATATAGTCTTTCATTTTTTTCTGCAGAAGTCGAGTAGCGTTAGATTATGTTACAACGTCGAGAATTTTTGATGTCGTATTTCGCGTGCCATAAAAGTAAAATTGTACATATACATCAAAATTCTCTAGTAAATCTACAATTAAGATTTATACTTTTTATCGAATTTATGATTTTTTAATTTGATTGAAAATGTTACCCTGAAGTCTTTTAGTTTTTGCGAAATAAATTTTGATTGTGATAAAACTCGCAAGTATAAATCTAATTTTAGAATGTTGGACTTTTTTTTCCTTCGAAAAGAGAATTTTAATGAACTTTATCGCGATATAATTTAATTAAGAGTCTGCGCCGATTGTGCCGATGACGTAGAAGTGCAATAATGCTTCGTGTTGTCAAGAAGTACGAACACAACCAGACACGATTCGGACGACTGTACAAGTTGTAGAACGAATATCTGGTTTCTGTATATGATTAAATACAATATAGTATAATAATTATATATGTAAATGTAGTCCCTCGTTTTTTTTTCAAGAATGCACTCGAGTAACATCAGAATAGATTACAACGACGAGAATTTTTATTATCGCATTCGTGCCATAAGTAAAATTGTACATACATCGAATCTCATCTCGGTCGGAACATCGAGATATCACATTACATATTCAAGACCCTCCTCAAAATTCTTCCGGATAAGGAAATCATGAATTACACATTTACCGTTACCGTGATAATTTCCGAAACGTGCGATAGAATTACACCAAGTAAGTTTGCAGCGACAATTTTAAAGGAATCACGAGAATTATTGACAAATCATAATCATATGTTGTATTTATAAAAATATTTTTAAGCTAAGATTATTAAAAAAAAATAGGATAAGGCACGTAAAGCGCGCGAAGATATATCGATATTAAAAAAGAAAGTTTAAAATAAAAATTTTTAGAGATACAGATATCGTCAGTAATTTCATTTTCACCTTTATTTATGTAATGCATTAATTAACCCAGGTATACTGAATTCTCCATTTATATAATATCGGATATGTGGTCGAGAGAATTTACGAATGATACTGCGTGTCTGTAATAATCGTGTGAGATACGCAGTAAAGTGAATATAAAATGCGTCGTTTCTTCGAATGGAATGTGATATGCTTCATTGATTGTGTAATATTTAGCGAGGTGTGCAAAAACACTCTCGAGTTTTGCATTAGCCGATACGATAGAACGATAGTAATAATAGATCACAGGTGTACGAGCAGGTATCGGCTGAAATTCGAAAGATCGAAGAGGAAAAGAGAGAGAGTAATTCTCTTGAATTGTGAGCCGAATGATACTTCTCGATTTGTTCATGCATACACATCTGTATATAGGAATTTTAACAACACGTAGGGCGTTTATTTTTAAACGTAAGCTTCACACTTCGTAGTATTTATCGGATTAAAGAAATTATTTTAATTATGTATGTATATACGCGTAATACATCTTTATCGATACATAAACAGGACATGTAAATTTATGATATATGTAGCATGACATATATTTTTACGATATAAAATAAATAAATATTACGAAGTGGGCACCCTTTAAATAACGTTCTTTATATATATTTTTATAGTTAGTTGCACACTCAATATGCAAGTACTAACTCGCGTCGTCTTATCGCGCTCACAAATATCAAACATGTACACACATCACGAATAAAATTGGTCGAATCACTAGGTGAATTCACAGGTCAACAAAATAGCGATGATATATCTTTGGATTGCTGAATCGCAAGATAAATTTGTTTTTTTTTCTCTAATAATTTTTTTGCACTCTCATGTATTTAAAACATTTTTATATATTAAATTTTATATTATTTTTAGTGTGTAAATATCTCCAAAAAATCATTAAAAAAAATTATTTCACGTCTCAGTAATCCAAAGATTAAATTTTTCATCGGATACATTTTAGATAAGAAGTAATGACAGATATTTAAGTGGGTGGATGTTCATCTTGTATCTCGTTACTCTCCGGTAACTTGATGAAGGACAAGTCACCACCGCTCCACATCGAGTACAATTGCGATCTCGTACATTCCTAAAAGGAACGATGTTTAGAGATGTATGAGAAAGAGAGAGAATCGAGAGAGCAAGCGAGGAATTAGCTTGAAAGCAAAGGAGAAGCGAGCTAATTAAGAGCTAAACGCGATAAACGGTGCGCAAATTATTCCTTCTTGTCAAATATTATTTATTTATTTATTTTGTATGTTCTAATTGCGAACCACCTTCAGCAACCATCAAAAACAGATAAAATAAATTTTATGAAGTGTGAATTATGGACTTTGCATACAAGTACATCTAATACGGAGTATAAATTAAATACGTCCATTGTCAGTAACCCGGACAAGCGTAATAAATCTCCTTTTAATTTTACCCGTAAAAAAAATTCATCTGCTCTGATTGATTGGAAAAATCATAAATATCGAAACCTTTAACAATTTAGCAATTAAGCTGGAGAAAGACGTGAGATGTTAGAGAGAAAATGTGAACTGGAATTTTAATGCAAAGGCGAAACTCACTTTATTCATCGGATAAAGACACTCTGCGAGCCACAAGAAACGAAATGCAACTGTCGATTATTCAAACTATATATCGATAATTATCGCATGACATTGAAATGGATTATATAAGCATATAAGCATGATTTGTAAAAACATTTTATGTTAAAATAACATTACCGTCACACGATTTAAATTTTTTACAAATTCTCTATTATCATGTGTGTGGTCCTCAAAATAAATATTTAATAAAAAAAGAAAAAAAATTGCGCACTGTTTATCACGCTTGATTCTTAATTAATCCGCTCTTCATTAACTTGCGGATATTCCACAATATCAGAGCCTTTTACTTTAATTTTTGCTTCGAAGAAAGCGTTGTATAATATATCAGGACAGTGTAAATAGAAGGGTATAGTCGTATACATAAAAGTAATTCGTACGCCATCATTTCTTTCAACTGCATATACATTTTTAAATATATATATCCTCTTATAACATTACGTTTTGTTTAAATCTTCAAAAATTTCTCGTGTATATATCTAGAATATTTATCGATTATTGTAAGTCGCGCCAAGTCAAAGTTCGGCGTGCAAAAATGTCGGTGTACGAACTTTTTTTTTTCTCTCGTATATATCTCAAAGAAAAGATATCGGCTTAATAAACTTAAGTTCACTAACAATCAGAATACAACTGATCTCGTTTATTTACCCCGCCACCAGCGCTTTCCGAACCCGATCGGCTGTGCGCCGAGAGGCAGGAATCGGTTGACGAGCTGCTCTTGCGGGATGGCAATGTGTCCGCTGTACCTTCAACGAAACGTACGAGCTGAGATCATCGCGATCGAAAAGGTCTCATCGAGTTATTCTTAGCGGGAGCTTAGCATTTCGAAACAACGCAATATATTCGACTCACCAGTTTCCGTTTCCCTATGATCGCAATGCGAGTGAATGCTATCCTTGCTATCGCCGTGACTGCCACTGGTACCGCTCTGTTCTGCAGTGACATTAAGAAAATTCATCATTCGTCGATCCTAACAATTATAAGAATCATCTATTCGCAATGAAATCTTACCCGAATCCCTATGTTCACCGCTGTGAACACTGTGATCGCTATCGCGATATCCAGATTGATCAGAATAATCGCTAGAATCCTGAGGCCAGCATCTGGGAGAGCCTATTCTATGCGATCTCGACCAGATAGCGGAGTCGTAATTCGAATCGAAGTTGCAGGTCGTCAAGGTGACACCCGGGATATGCTGACTAGTATAAGCCGAGAGCTGATTGGACGACCGAACTCCTGCACAACGTACAACCTTCCAATCGCACGGAGACCACGAAACAGAGAATGGCTTATATATTTAGGCCTGCTAAACGCATCCTTTTAATTTTTGACAAAACTTAAAAAGAATATTCCAATACTCGCGAGATCAAAAACACTGAGCTTGAAATGTTTAATCTCGAAGATTGCAACTCGATTCACATAAACCGAATTCTTTTTTCATAAAAGAATTCTTTCACTTACATTTTGCGAAGAAATATTTTCCGCAAAGTTTCCTCTCACGACATGAAAATCATTAATTTAATTTTCGAGAACGCGAAGACAGAGATTCAAGAAAGAGTTTTTGAACTTTTGCTACCTGGTTTGCAAGATAGCAATTGAATGGCTTCCTGCAGACCGTCTTGACTAGCCATCGTGGACATTTTCCACACCGAATCAGGCGTGGTCGATCTGCTGCGATCCTGCTGCGGCACCCTTAATCGCGATCTCGCGTCCTGACGCGGCCATTCTATGACGTGCTTGCAGTCCCAGGGCATCGACCAACGCCTCATCGTGCTCTCGACAGATTCGCCTGACATTTCTGCCGCCGCCGTTTCCGACCATCTTCTCTGAACCTTTATTATACGATAAATCGAATGATGATCGAGCTTACTACAAATCGTTTCGACGAATATTCTAATTACCTGCAGAGGAAACAACGAATACGGCAAGGGAGACCTCCGATAATTTTGCACCGAATGTTGGGTGGACGAGGAAGAAATCGGTGGTATTGGTGAACTATAAAGACGCTCGAAGCATTGCTGTAACGCGGCGATATCGCAATCGCCGCTGCCATTTTGAGAGCAAGAACATTCTGCCATACCACCTAGTTAACAAGATAGTAAAATCAGAAAAAAATCGAAAATAGAATCTTGTTAATTTTCGAAAGAAATTCAAATAATCGTTAACTGCATCTTGCTTCAAATCTAGTTTCTACAAAATGTGGAATTATTTTAATGCTACTCTAATTTTTTAATTTCACTAAAATAATCGTATTCTAATTCGATTCATATTTCAATAGTTCTACCTAATCATCGACTATCAGACTACTTTAATAATACAGGCTTACCTAAGCATTCGCAACAAGCTACGCAGAACTGATATTGCAAGTTTATGAACGTCAAGAGATTTTCTCTGAGAATATCCTGAAAATGCAGAAGCACTCTGTCAGTTACACTTTAATGCAAAGATAGCTTAAATTGATTATATATTACTAACATGTTTGTCCCCATCATTGTCACGAGATTCATGATCCCTCAGAGCAGTGATTACATGATTCTTAACGGTACTACTGGCTATATGTGTAGCTCTCGTCAACTCTTCCCATCCAGCTAAACATTGACCTGTCAGACGACATTGTGCCACTGTATCGTGCACAGAAAGAAGTGCTTGCAGGGACTGAGCCAATTTAGTACCAGCTGTACATAGGCCATTAAGTGTCTGTAGTATGAAAAATGATTTATTTTCTGCGTGGCGACGCAACATGAGCTTACAATCATTACAGCTATCGAAAGCATACCAACCTGTAAGTACGTTAACCAGTTACCAAGGCATTCATTTATTTCTAACTGACCTCTCGAAATCTGGCCATCAATAGATTTTGGCTCTGTTCCACCTTCAGCCATAGCTGGACTCTTTTAGATTGCCAAATGCCTAATAAGAGTCATCATTGTCTTACGCATAAACATTTCAAATATCCTACACAAAGAGGCTGCAATACGCAGTTATATTGCAGGAGTCATTACGTAAAATATTATAGAAACAACAACTTTGTAGCAAGAGATTTGATGCACTGATGCAGTGCAGATTCTTCCTAAAAAATAGACCAACACTAATAAGAGACATGTAAAGTCATTTTTAATTTATACAGTTTCAGTACTCACATCTTTCTAATTAAATTAACTCAAAGCCTCAAGAATTGAGTTATCTCGTGGGAAAATCATGATTCTTGTACTAATGCCGGCACCAACCTTTCAGATATTCGTCAAATAAGATACCAGAACACTTGCATCCACGTTCATTTACTGTCATCGTTGGTCATCGCTCCGGACACTACCAGAGTAAGAGATAGTACTACGAAATTCTGTCAGATGACGCCATACGGTAGTTATGACCATTGTAATCATGATATCATGAATGACCGAGTGATGCAAAAATCGCACTTTCGTTAAAGAATCGCGCGACTCGATTGAAAGATAACATTGTTTTGACAGATGTGATATTATTTCGCATTAACACCTCAATCTTATAATTTTAAGCAAAGCTCTGCTTGTTCTTCCTCAATACTTTTTTTTCAAATTTATGATATAATTATAGTTTAATTAATTTTGCGTTATTAATTATTAATTCTTTTATAAGTACATTTTATTTATACATATATTACAAATAATATCAAGAACCGATCTTGCAAAATGCAGGAAGATAAAATGATATCAAGACAAAAAAACTAGTAGATTTATTATATTTACTATACTATACTTGAAGATTTTGAAATATATTTATTTTACTTTGTTTAAAATTAAAAGTGTAATAAATTTGTTTCTATTTGTATTATATATATTTATTATATTTCGCAAAATTTATTTTGCAGAAAAAATCAAGACTAACATTTATTAAAGAATCTTTATAAAAAGCATTATAAAATGAAATAATCGAATAATAAAAAGCGTACAAAAATTTTTATATTGATCAAAAAATTCAATAAAAGTCAAATTACAATGGTCAATTTTATAATTCCATATTTTTTAATAAATTTTATTTAATAAATTCCATTATAAAATAATGTTCTAAGATAGCGATTTAATTCTAAATAATATCATTTACATAATTTGCGAATTTAACGTTATATCAACACAAAGATACGGCATTTGATTGATATTGTAATTACAAAGAAACGTGATATAATAAACAAAAAAAAATATGTATAATGTCAAAGATCTTGAGAAATAAAGCGGTTTCTCTAACTTAATTAGTTTTATGTTTTGTGTCTTCAACATCGCCCCTAATTATAGTCTTATTGTTAGAAAAGTAATTTTTCTCACCAATATAAAAACGCACATACTACTTTTTTCATGTTCAACGCGTCAGAATTTTATTAAAATTATATTCAAATTTTAAATATATCTTTTATTAATAATATTGAAATTACATTACATCTCAAAATATAAAAAAGAAATGCGGAAAGAAGAAAATTAAATTTATTTCTCTTGTAAAATCATGTTTAATCATGACTCATTTGATTATATTATCATGTATCATATCTGATAAAATAGCGTTTAATTTGCGCGGACTGATGATTCTAATAAAGTATAATTAATTACTTTCCTTTATTAGCAAAGATATCTCTCAGCATCTTGAAGCTGCAGCAATTTCTAACATTTTAGTTTTTCGCTGAATTGTTATCTAAATTGAAAATCTAATCACTTTAATTGAAATGTTTGATTGTACGTACTAAAAATAAAAAGTAATAGTTTTAGTTGAATTGATTAGAACAATATTTTAATTTAACAATTTTAGCAGACGAAAAAAAAAAAATAAACCAGAATAAAAATTCTTGTTTAAAAAAAATGTTAGAATAATCCGATATCCAAAATATCATTTATATACTTTAACACGTTGATATAAATATTTGATTAAACAGAATCCTTCTAAATAAATGTCACCATTTTTTACAGAATTTAAATTAACAATCGCTCTATATCTTAGAACATTAATTATTTTATTTCCGAATTATGTCTATATGATTTTCGAAAGTCACATGTATACATATCTATATATGTATACACATACATATATGTGCCTCTGTTTCTCGAGTGAATACGGAAAAGAAGTAAACCTCGTTGGAGGTGAAAGGGGCCCAGGCTGACGTCGGTGGATGATTAAAAAAAAGACGGCAAGCTACGACGGGAGCGGGAGACACTGGAAACGCGATCGCGCGCGGAATATCGCGCGCGGCGGCAGAGTTACGAGGAAGCGGAGAAGAGAGTCCAAGAGAGATAGCGCGGTCCGGTCCCGTAGAGGGGACTCTTAACGGTAAAGTCTCGGTAACCTTATAGGCAACTCCGCGTCACTGACCACGGCTGACTAGGTTTTTTTTTTCCCGAGCCGACACTTCTCTCTGAAGTAGGCACTTCATTTTTAGAATTCGGGTGTAATAGAAACCTAACTCTCCTTTCTCTTCAAAGAGATTTAAATTTCCTATACACCTTATTTTACAGAGTTCTTAAATAGGAAAATATAAGGGTCTATAAAAATATATGTATCGTTTTCAGGTTTCTGTTAATGAAAAAAATGTATAATAATTTTTTTATTTCCTAACAGGATGCATTTAAAAAATAATACTTTTCAATTAATAATTTTAATAATTTTTTTATTTCCTAACAGGATGCATTTAAAAAAGAATACTTTTTAATTGAAGTCATGAGATGTACTATTGAAAACTTTTACGAAAGTCAATTTGCTAGAAAAAAACTTTCATTCATAGAAACTTGAGAAGAACTTTGCTCAATTTTTATGCAATAAATAACTTATTCAATTGAAAAGTATTACTTTTTAAAATTCATTCTGATAGAAATAAAAAAATTATTATGCAATGCAAAATTAATACCTAATCAAAACATCACATACCAATGCTCAAGCTCGTATGACAATAAAAACAATGATAAATTATTAAATTAAGGCCATGTGTAACGAGCAATACGATATTATTTTATTATTGAGAAGAAAATTCTTAATTTAAAATAATAATTGTACAAACGTTTCGAGCTCTACTTGCTCCTCTTCAGTGCGCAATTATTATGCATTCTTTTGTTTTATATATTATTTTTATAAAAATTATTATGCATATGCTCGACGACTCTAACTGTATAAAGCGATTAAAAACCGGCTCATTTTTCCGTTGGTACTTATTATTATTAGAGTATTAGAGTATTATTACACATATAAATTACATATTCGCGATAAAAACCGGTCCCCTTTAACGAATCCGCAAACTTTAAGTCGATCGGTCGTAAACAGTAATTTTTCAATCTAATCCAATCTATCTGGTTTTAATCCGGAATATACTTAATCGTGTTTCTAAGCTTCAAAAGAAAATTGAAACGTAAACAGGATTTAGCGCATCGATTCAAAGAATTTCAGATATTTAGGAAACTATCAGTTTTTTTCCTAGCCAATCTAGCACAAATCGAAACGATTAACAATTCTTGATTTCAGTAATAAAAACATGTAAAATTTTCATCGAATGTTAAAAATTTTGTTACAAACTTAAAATTGATCTTTTCGCGAGCTGATGCATTTATTGATCAAGAAATTACGAAGAATATTAATAGCATTCATCAATATAATAATTCTTGATAACATTAATAATTTTCCTTATCAAAATTTCACTATTATTTCTTCGAGAGGAGATATTAAAGTTAATTAATTTTATTTTTGGAATCTGTAAAGGAAATTATAATTTGCCATCAATATAATAATTCTTAATAATATTAATAACTTTCCTGATCAAAATTTCATTATTTTTTCGAGAAGAAATATTAGAGTTAATTAATTTTATTTTTTTTTTTTAATTTGAAGGAAATTATATTGTATATAATTTTTTCACGATAGCGCAAGCTATTGGGTCTTATTAAAATTATGAAGAATTAATTATTATTTCTAGCAGTGGCTATATAATCGCTGTGAAAGTAATATATCATTATATTTCGTTTCAACGGCTGAATTAAAAAGTGAAAATTAAATTATGCTCTTTTCCCACGAGCGCCACTGAATTCAATTAAAGATTAATTTTTCTGTTAAAAATACAGCCTCGATGCGCTTCTCCGTGGCATTTAACGGCAGCAGAACCGAAACGCGGTTGTAAGAGTGTGCAAAGATCTAATGAACTAGCCAATATTGCGACTACGTACACAAACGTGTACAGCAGCTGAACGTAGTCGTTACTCTCGTCCGACTCGGCTGGTCGAGTCTGTTCAACGCGGGACTTTCATCGAGAGAGCAAAGAGGGCCTCAGGCCCAAGGCACTCGACGGTCGACCGGTGAAGGGAGCGGATCGTTGTCCGACTCGTTGCGCGGCGAGCAAATCGCGGGTAAAATGCCGTCGAGTTGATAGTTCACTCGGTCCAATACTCAAATTCGAGACTATAGTCCAGTGAACCAGGACGAGCAAAGGACTTGGAGAATGCTGAGGACACAACGACTCTTCAACAGCATCGCGATTCATTCCTCGTGGAGTCTGGAGAACAAGCATCTGAAGAGTGCATATAAGGAAGTGTCAAATAACTGAGTCAATCCAGAAATTATTGTGTAAAAAAAACTAGTGAAAGCGGTTGAATAAGCGTCTCTGATATCGACTCGACATTTTCGTCCGATCGAAAGAAAGATCTCTCTTGAGAAGTTCCTTCGAGAGTGGTGCGCGAGTGCAATCTTCTCCTAGAGAAGAGCCTTCCTTAGCAAGATCCCGCGGATGTTCGCGTATCGAGTTGGTTCCTGGTTAGCTGAATCGTCGATGTGATCGCGTCGTTTTGTCGATCCCGTGGAGAGAATGATATTGGTGTACGGGATCATCCTGCCCCTCGTGGGAAGCGTCACGTTCGCCCTAGGTAGATATATCTTATGGCTCGTAGATGTAGATGTAGAGTATGCTTTTGAAAGCGGCGCAAGCCACGAATCGCAAGAAAACGAGAGACGGCGGATTAGATTACAGGAATCATATTACAAGGAACGGCCGTACAAGCAAAGTGCATTATTTAGAAATCGATACTGGATTTCTGATGAAGCAACGAATGATTCGATTGTCTCACGTGTTTTACACGACATATATAATAAATATGTAGATACCGTCAATATTTTTCATTGTATATGTATTAAATATTATAGATTGGCGATGAAAAAATTAAGGGAAATTTCTTGCAATTTATTCATTTTTAAACATCATGTATATTTTTATTAATCAAGAATTTTAAATTAGTTTTCTATACACACACTGAAAAAAAATGTTAATTCTTATAAGTATTTATATCAGTACTGTCAAATAAATCATTTATTTGAAACTAATAAGTTAATATTTATTTGATATAAGACAATTATTTTCAAAACAAAATAAATATTTATTTGTTTCAAATCAATGATTCATTTGACAGTATTGAACTAAATATATATTAACTTAGTCATTTTGTTCAGTGCAGAGAGAATTTTCTCTTATTGTTAGTTAGTATTTACCTTGAAAATTATAATAATCATGGGACAATATATGGTATTGAAAGAATTTTATAAGAGTTTCTCTGATGAATATTTATCACAATAAGATATAAAACATATTTGATTAATTTTACTGTGTACATATTAATATATTTTATTGTGGTAAATATTTTAATCAGAGAATCATATTGTCCCACGATATCATGATTTTCAGGGTAAATTCTAAAGGAAAATTATCTCCGTCTATAAAGTTTGCATCTCGTTAAGATAATCAAATTTTATTTAATTTTTACCAAAATTTATCAAAATTAAAAATTAAAAATTATTATTTTTTATAATTAATTACTTGAAACTTCATTGCTTAAATCGGTAAATTATATATTTTCTTTCTTTTCTCAGCACGAATAAATCACAAATGATTTATTTACGCTGAAAAAAATTATTGCACAGATTGCTACACACTTCGAAAGATAGTTGCACAATTCAGATATATATCGTAACGTTTCACGCGAGGCGAGTCCTTCCGCGAGAAAAAAGGGTGCGCATCTCACAAAGAGGATCTTCCTCGCTGAAAGCCTTCTTCTATCGTTCGCGTTTGATCTCTCGCGAAATGCAAAACGGACGCAAGTACGCGTGTATCCTCCTTACGTCTTTCCCGAGTAGCGCCTGTAGCAAGAGACCGCATTCCCCGAGTGCAAATACTATCAATAGCAAAACTCTTCAATGTACAGAGGCGATAAAGAAGAGAGAACGCACGAAAGCTCTTTTCTAAATATTTACTCGAAGATTTTTTACTGAGAGCAACTGCGCGAAAAAATAAACGCAAAATTGAGAATTGTATAAACAAATGTTCGAGAGCAACTAGTTATCGATAAAATATTTTAGTGAGCCTAAAATTTAGAAGGACAATATATACTTCGTATATGAAAACGATCTATCGTAATGTTCAAGGTTGGGTAATAGTTAAAAGTTAAAAAAAAGTTAAAAAGTTAATAACTTTTAACTTAGCTTAGTTAATTTAAAATGTATTAATTTTTAACTTCAACTAGTTATTTTTGACCTTAAACTTATTAATTTTTTTCCTAATTTAAAAGTTTTTCTTTTATTTCTTTTCTCTCTATACCATTATTGTTTTTTTATAAGTTAAATATGTATTATTTTTAAAATAAAGTATTATTAATTTTTATGTTCATTATTGTCATCAATTGTAATTACAAAAAAAATATATTTCTATATAAAAATCAAAATTTCTTTGTTGTTTGCTATTATAAATTTTAAAAGAATTAACAAACAAAATTCTAACTTAATATAAATGTTTTTAAAAATTAACTTTTGATTTTAACTTAACTTTAACCGAGTTAATTTTTTGTTCATGCAACTTTTAACTTAACTATGAATTAATTTTATAAGCAATAAACTTTAACTAAACTTATTGTTAGTTTAAAAAAATCATTAACTTACCGAATCCTGATAATATTATATAACTTAATAATACAGATATATATAGAAAAAGATAGATTCCCTTTAACACAAAATCGAATTGTACTCTGTGTTGTCCCTGGTGAATAAGGAAAAGAGAGTATGTAAGAGGAGTGAACACAAAAACAGGTACCGCCCACTCCTCCGGTTCTCGTCCTCGCTGGTTTTCTGGTGTCTCGAGGTCACCCGGTATATAAAGAGCCCTGCCATTGACTCATTTCACATTCTCCGAATTCGCGAAACGATTAAAAGTGAATATATTTTTTTAATACCTCGAAATTCATCGGATGCTCTTTCTCTCTCTCTCTCGCGAGCGAGCGAGCGAGCGAAAATACTTTGTCTTTTAAATGTCAACAAGTAAAAGTATCGTCGAGTTTATAACCCGTTCTATTTCGCGTGTTTCGTTGTTGTCTAATAGTCGCGTTAATTCTATACAATAAAATCTTTTTTCTCGCCGTACCTACAAGCTAAAAGCGTTTTTTCTGTTCTACTCGAATATTTCCCTATGACGCAAACAAATCGTTAATTCTTACATATACGAGTTCGTAGGGAAACGTATGTGATAATAAACGATCGTAAATCTCGATTAAATTAAATAATCGTGTAAAATTTAATTAAAACATAATGAATATGCAATAAACTAGAAAGAAAAGTCTAAAATTTATTACATCCAAATATGTTCAAAGTTATATGCATATATACCTTGTACATATAAATTAATACAAAATGTGCATCAGAGATTTAAATTAAAATTCTATTAAAACAAATTTAATTAGATGCGCGTTAAAATATTGATTTTAGAATTTCAATACAACGAACACGTTATGCGCATTAAATTAATGTACTTCGAAATGTGCATCGGGAAGTTAAAAGTTCGGACTGTACGTCGCAGACACACCGGAAGTGTAGGGGAGACCCACCTGTCCAACCCGAAACACGATCTGAAACGACGACCCACTTTATCGAAAACTCTGTAATCTTTTATTTTCTCCGTATACAGAGGTAAAAATAAGATGAAAACTAGATTAGTGGTGCAACAAACGGGATATGTAGATAGTATGTTTTATATATTAAGGTGAACCACTTTTACATTTCCACGCGACCACCACTTTGAAATCCTTGAAATGTCAATTTATCTAATGACGTCTGAAATAAATTATGTCTGCTACTGTCACTAGATGGATTTTGTCCTTCGCGGAAGCTGCAATGCATATTTTCCTCGTCGATGCATACATAATACCGACAATTCCTCTGAGAAAATGCAATCTCTTTGCATAAGAGATTATATGTTTCTGAAAGCATGTCTTGAAGTATTTGAAAGTATATATAGAGTGTTTCGTAATACGTGCATTTGATAGGTAGATACGTATGAAAATAGAAATAATTTTCTTTAATGAAAATATATATACTTCGACGAAATGTGAAATATTTTTAATTCTCAACAAGAGATATACGTGAATAATATACTTATATTCGCATTATAATAAATAAAAGAGATTTGCGCTTTTTTGCAAAAATAGGCAAATAAATTTCAAATTCTTAACTTAAAAAAAAGAGAGAAAATATGCTACTCGTAATAAAATACTTATTTTAATGAGAAATAAATATATATATATATATATAAATATTATCTCAAAGTATTCTCAAGTATTGAGAAACTAAATAAAATCGTAACACACAGATCCACTTGTAAATTCAGTGTGGTTGCTTGAACTTTCGAGCAGAATCGAGAAGCGTGGGAGGAGATTGGCTGACCAGATTCCCGGATCAAGAACATTCTCAGTGCTCAGAAATAATCGAGTGGTAACGATTAATAGTAGGCGTGAATGAATTATCTGTTTGAACTATAACGATTAAATGAACAGTATCAGGGTGTCCACTCAATAAAAAAAAGTCCTCGACTTTTTCATATTTTTCAAGACCAGAAATTTATTTTTTCCCCGACTTTTTAGTGTTATTTTTTTCAAATATATATCATTTGCATATATCTATATGATAAATCAATTAAATGTTATATCATGAAATTCTTGAGATATTTTTGTCAACAATGAAAAGATTCTTTAATTTTTTTTAACAACAATTTTGAACAACACAGAAAATTAGCGTGCTGGGAGTCAAGGAATAGTTTATATTTATTTAATAAAAAATTTCAAATTATTGAGACAAATGTGAAAAAATCCAGATAAATAGTAAAATTTCCTGACTTTTTCCCTGACAATTCCAGATTTATAAAATTCCCTGACAATACCCGGTTTTCCAGATTTCCCTAACCGCTAGATACCCTGAATATAATTAGGTATATATAAGTAATTGTATAAATAGAATGACACGTAGAAAAGTTTTCCTCGACTTGAAAGAAATGAGCGCTCTTGATCAATTTATTCAGAAACGAGTCTCAAGGGTAATATTCGTGAAATTGTGCTCGCGTTTTTGTAGCAACAATATTCTTGATAGATGACTATAGAAATTGGTGACCGCAATATGCGTACGTACACGCATTGAGAAAATCGTTACTTTGTGAAAGTGCTTACAGCTAATTCAAAATTCCTACGGCATATTCCTTTCTCCGCTGCTTTCTTTTAAACCGTCGTTTAATTTAGGCGCGATCACGATTCGAAACTACGATATTATAAATTGATTGATTTCATATACTCTCCAATCATTCCAAAATTTTTTATGTTTACAGAACTGAACTCTATTCCCGCGGTTATGTACTTTCTATTTTATCCCAACGATATTATCATATAGATGCAAATCTAATTTACGAATCTTACACTCGGTACAAAAAAAAATACATATTTAAGTGACTGCAGAATGTCGTAGACGAAAGACCTACATATATATTATACAATATATATAGGTTGCAGTTTCTATTTTCTAACATGAATATGAAAATATAATTGTTCACAATTTTCCATAACGA